ACTATATCTTGTGAAAAAAACATAGAAAGATTTATATTTATGTGTAATTTATTGGAAAAGTTGTTATCATTTGGTATTTTTATAAGAAAATTAGATATTTTGAGGATATTTTTTGTGAAGTAAGCCCAACTCCGGCATCTCTTGGAAGATGATACGTGAAGCATAATTCAAAAATTTGTTTTCAAGATCTATATTTCATTATTTTGGATTTAAAAAAATTTGATGTTAAAATTTTTTGGAGATAATAAAATGAAATTGCTTTGGCAGAACCAGATGAAGAGTCTAGGAAAACTTCCAATTAAACACACAGAAAAGATTTTGCTTTGCTTAGCTTCAATTTTTTTTCAATTAGAAAATTAGGTAGAATCATAGTTTTTTGCGTAATAAACTTCGCAAAAATATTCAACTGTTACGGTTTGAACCTTGATTTCCTTTCCTAAATCATTTTTTTTAAGATGCGTTCTTTTGGAAGTATTAGATGTTGCAGAAAATAGGAGCTAGGTCAACTTGCGTAGTTCTACTTCCAAAGGTTTTCAGATTATAAACAATAGAGCTGCTCTTAATTTGTTCTAAAAACTCAACGTAAAATAACAGCTTTATATTCTCAATTTTTTTTTCATTTACTTTCGAATGCTTTAATTAGCAACAATTCTTTCTCAATTAGACCTTTTTGAGAAAAATTCTGACAAAAATCAAGAATAAAAAGCAATATATTAACTATTTTGCGAAAAAAGTGATAGTTAAAGTTGCCAAAAGTGGTATTTTTGCTGAAATAGTTTTATGTATCAACTGAACAAGGGAACCTGAAGCAGAACATGTACAAGTTACATGGTAATAATCAGACGTTATCAGCTTTAATTTTATCTCTGCCAGCAAATTGTTCCTTCAATTGATACTATTTTCTCCTATAATCCCCTCTTCTGACAAAATTTTCTTGCAAAGTGACTTCAAAAGCGAAAGCATGTGGTAATCAGAAAGCAAGAATAAACTGAAAACATAAAAAATTTCTACCGAAAAGTCAAGAAAATTTTGTTGTAGAAGCAACAGAGAGATAACAATCAATCCCCTATTCTGGGGATTGAAGAAGCCCCGCAATTTTGAAGAAGATTTTATTGATTTTCATCCAATCTAATTAATATTGCTCTTATTGTTCATTTGAATTAAAATTCTTATGTGAAATTTTCTTTGAACTGGACAAAAACCAGTTACTTACACAAATAAAAGGGTAAAAATTGATTTTTTTGAATGATTTTATTAACTTTTAGTTTACTTTCTCAAAAATTAAGATTAATTACACTATTTTCCCGACAAATCGGAAGTTTCAATATTGATTCAGCTAATATGAGCTTTATATGTTCAGAGCGTTTTATAAACGACTTCTTAGTTCGAATTAGGGTAAACTTTATCATATTTCAATATTAGGGTAAACTTTATTATATTTCAATCTTTATCATATCCATATTTTCATTCAAAGTTTTCTATGACTGTCTCAACATGATAACAATTGAAAACACAATTTGAGCTTAATTTTGAACTCTACCCGTATGTGTAATTTTTCAATTAGATTTTGCTTTGCTTAGCTTCAATTTTTTTTCAATTAGAAAATTAGGTAGAATCATAGTTTTTTGCGTAATAAACTTCGCAAAAATATTCAACTGTTACGGTTTGAACCTTGATTTCCTTTCCTAAATCATTTTTTTTAAGATGCGTTCTTTTGGAAGTATTAGATGTTGCAGAAAATAGGAGCTAGGTCAACTTGCGTAGTTCTACTTCCAAAGGTTTTCAGATTATAAACAATAGAGCTGCTCTTAATTTGTTCTAAAAACTCAACGTAAAATAACAGCTTTATATTCTCAATTTTTTTTTCATTTACTTTCGAATGCTTTAATTAGCAACAATTCTTTCTCAATTAGACCTTTTCGAGAAAAATTCTGACAAAAATCAAGAATAAAAAGCAATATATTAACTATTTTGCGAAAAAAGTGATAGTTAAAGTTGCCAAAAGTGGTATTTTTGCTGAAATAGTTTTATGTATCAACTGAACAAGGGAACCTGAAGCAGAACATGTACAAGTTACATGGTAATAATCATACGTTATCAGCTTTAATTTTATCTCTGCCAGCAAATTGTTCCTTCAATTGATACTATTTTCTCCTATAATCCCCTCTTCTGACAAAATTTTCTTGCAAAGTGACTTCAAAAGCGAAAGCATGTGATAATCAGAAAGCAAGAATAAACTGAAAACATAAAAAATTTCTACCGAAAAGTCAAGAAAATTTTGTTGTAGAAGCAACAGAGAGATAACAATCAATCCCCTATTCTGGGGATTGAAGAAGCCCCGCAATTTTGAAGAAGATTTTATTGATTTTCATCCAATCTAATTAATATTGCTCTTATTGTTCATTTGAATTAAAATTCTTATGTGAAATTTTCTTTGAACTGGACAAAAACCAGTTACTTACACAAATAAAAGGGTAAAAATTGATTTTTTTGAATGATTTTATTAACTTTTAGTTTACTTTCTCAAAAATTAAGATTAATTACACTATTTTCCCGACAAATCGGAAGTTTCAATATTGATTCAGCTAATATGAGCTTTATATGTTCAGAGCGTTTTATAAACGACTTCTTAGTTCGAATTAGGGTAAACTTTATCATATTTCAATATTAGGGTAAACTTTATTATATTTCAATCTTTATCATATCCATATTTTCATTCAAAGTTTTCTATGACTGTCTCAACATGATAACAATTGAAAACACAATTTGAGCTTAATTTTGAACTCTACCCGTATGTGTAATTTTTCAATTAGATCAGAAGCAACAAAAAACTAGTCAAAACCCAAGGATTTCTGCAATTCTTCTAAAAACTTGGAATTTCTGCAATTTTTTTCCAAAAATTTTGATATTTTTGCTTTTTTTTCTAAAAACTTGAAATTTTTGCAATTTTTTTCCGAAATTTGACTGTTTTTGTAAAGTTTCAGTAGTTTCAGCGAAATTTCAGCTAGATTGAGTTTTGTATTGACAATTAAGATCATCTAATAAAATAGTTATTAAGTCAAACTATATCTAATTTGACTCTAATTTTCATCCAATCTAATTAATATTGCTCTTATTGTTCATTTGAATTAAAATTCTTATGTGAAATTTTCTTTGAACTGGACAAAAACCAGTTACTTACACAAATAAAAGGGTAAAAATTGATTTTTTTGAATGATTTTATTAACTTTTAGTTTACTTTCTCAAAAATTAAGATTAATTACACTATTTTCCCGACAAATCGGAAGTTTCAATATTGATTCAGCTAATATGAGCTTTATATGTTCAGAGCGTTTTATAAACGACTTCTTAGTTCGAATTAGGGTAAACTTTATCATATTTCAATATTAGGGTAAACTTTATTATATTTCAATCTTTATCATATCCATATTTTCATTCAAAGTTTTCTATGACTGTCTCAACATGATAACAATTGAAAACACAATTTGAGCTTAATTTTGAACTCTACCCGTATGTGTAATTTTTCAATTAGATCAGAAGCAACAAAAAACTAGTCAAAACCCAAGGATTTCTGCAATTCTTCTAAAAACTTGGAATTTCTGCAATTTTTTTCCAAAAATTTTGATATTTTTGCTTTTTTTTCTAAAAACTTGAAATTTTTGCAATTTTTTTCCGAAATTTGACTGTTTTTGTAAAGTTTCAGTAGTTTCAGCGAAATTTCAGCTAGATTGAGTTTTGTATTGACAATTAAGATCATCTAATAAAATAGTTATTAAGTCAAACTATATCAAATCTTATCGTGTTTTGAAGTTTTTTGAAAAAAAACTTTTAATTTAATTTATAAAAAAAATTCGAGTTTTTGCACACTGACGACTGACTTTTGCACATTGACCATTGACTGTTTGCACATTGACCACTGCATATTTACCATTGATTTACAATAAACCAAAAAACATCATTCCACAATCTACACGTAATGCTTACATAACGCGTGCCGAGATTTTTGCGAAAAATCTAGATATTTCTACACAAAAACCACAAAAAAAAACGTTTTTCTTACCACTCTCTTACAATCACACTGAAACCATACCATTCCTTGTCCTAATACATTGGGAAACCCATTCCCCATCTTAATGAAATCTTAATTCCCTACACTGAATCCTTATACATAGGGAAATCTATACACTATCTTAAAACATGGTAAGATCGGGCGCCAAATTTTTTTGACACTTACCATCACACTGAAACCTTACCATTCCCTATCCTAAAACATTAGGAAACCTACTCCTTAACCTAATACATAAGGAAACCTATTCCCACGTGATACATCAATAATACTTACCCATTAGGTAACGCGCGCCGAAATTTTTTGCGAAAAAACTAGACATTTCCACGCAAAATCCAACCATTTTTCTTTCTCTTACCATCACACTGAAACCTTATCATCTTAATACATTGGGAATTCTATTTCTTAATTCCATACAATAAGTTTCTAATACATAGGGAAATCTATGCGCTATCCTAATACATGGGAAATTCGGGTGACTAAAAACAACTTACCATCTGAAACCTGCTATATTAATACATTGGGAAACCTATTCCCTATCTTAATACTTTAGGAAAGTTATAGCCTGTGTTAATACATAGGGTGCTGACCGGATACGTTTCTTGTTTGCTTTTTTTCTACCAGCGTTCTTGATTTGGTTGTCACTATTCAGAAAAATTATCAAACTATTTCATTTTTCAAGAAAGTTACAAGTGGTCTATTTGCAGAAACTAAAATCATAATTTTTAATTTGAGTCATTAAATAATGTTTGAAATATAACCTAAATTTAAAGATAAATTTTATTGTAGGTACAGATTTACTGCATTATTTGTAAACATTTCCTGCATCCATAAAAAAAATACGATAAAAATAGATTAAAAAATCTCAACCCCCCCCCCAAAAAAACAGCTCACGTAAAACAAATCTCTAGTAAAACAAATATTTTGACCCCCAATGCTGAACAATAGAGGATCTAAAATGTTTTTTTTTTAATTTTCAGCTCAGTGCATTGATATTTTTTAGATTGATAAAAATTTCTTACAAACATTTAGCTAAGAAGTCGCACTTAGTCAGTCAGAAGAAAAACTATATCGAGGACAAAATATCCATCCTGTCTCCAAAAGTCTGAACTAAAATATATCACCATTCAAGATTAGCGTCAGATTTTGACCAGTTGTATTTCCCGCCGCGCTTGAAAAACATTTGTTCATCAAAGCCGCTGAATTTTAGAGCCTCTTTTACTCCGACGTCAAGAATGGAGGGCGAGGGTTTCTTACATCCCGAAGTGTTGTCGAGGAAACGCATGAACTCGTCCAGGATGAAGTATGAGTTGCGCATTGCAAGGTTGGATTCAGGAACTAAAGTTGAGACTGATTCGTGACGTTTGAGGAATGATTGGAATTGATCAGACGTGATTAGAAATGGCTCCACCTGTTTTATCAAAAGCGAGAAATGTTCACTAAAATATATTTTTCTTCTTAATAATGCCAAAAGAACACTAATCGCTAGAGGTTTTGATAAGATTTTGCGGTAAAACGGAGCTATTTCCTGAATGCAGACACTTTCACAAAAAGGATTAAAATGTACATTAAAAAACCAGAGTTTTACAAATCTTCGCAAAAATTTTCCAATGGGAGATTTTTTTAACCAAACTTGAGAGATGAATTGGATCACAAGCTTGGAAACGGTTCCATAGAAACCTGGCCCATGTGAACAATCTCTCTCTCTCTCCCTCCCCTTAATCGACCAAGTGAACAATCTCGCCCTAAATAAATGGCAAATTCAAGCCGCTATTTCTTTTAAGCCAGTGAGCATTCTACCCTCTGAACTGATTGAGGGGGAGATTATTTACTTGGTCCGAAACATGTACTACCTGTCTGAGAGCATTTTGCCCTTGATTCTCCTCATCAATACTCAGACATTGGAACACCTTCCATCTGCAGGGTTGCAATTCCTGAACTTGTTCACACATATTTTCACCCACATTATATGTGTTCACCACTGTGTTGAGTTTGAACAGAACTTGGTATTCGCGACACCAAGCGCGGATCCGACGCAGACTGTCCAGGTGCGATTTACCCTGCAAGCAAACTTGTGGTAAGTATGCTTTGTATGTATTGCGGCTGTTTGAATGAAGTTCTGAGAAAACTCAGAATTTTTGGATGACTTTTTGTAAAAACTCGATGCAATTTGTGTTTTAAACAAGAACAAAAACTCTAAAAATTGAACGAAGATCCATGTCCATTGTTAAAATAAGAACTCTAGTTATTGGGAAAAATTGAAGAATATCTTTCAAAATCAAGAAAAAATAAATGTTTTCACGCGCCGCTCAGAAAGTTCTCAAGCCTGAAAGTCATGTCACATCCGGATCCAGGTCCAAATTGCATAGTCGCGCCGAGAACTTGAGTCTTGAGAGGCTGGACATAAGTAGCAAACAACTGGACATAAAGTCGCGAAAGCGTGCACATACTTTTACTGGCTGTGGCGACTTTATGGCCAAACTTTCCTGGCTCAAACTTTTGAGACGCTGACGCGATTTGCAATTTGGGTCTGCATCCAAACGCGGTGCGGTTTTTGAAGTCTGGAAGAACCTCGACCAGGGAGGGGACCAAATAAATTCTACTTCAGTTCGTCATTCTTCATTTCTGTTGGTGACGTCTCAGTACAGATCCCTTTCAGTATACTCCCATTATAATTTTCACACAGAAAGGTGTGGGAAAAACAGGAATAGAACAGACATTTTGAATTTATCAACACAGAAATACTTGTAAGCCATACCTCCGGCCTTTAAGGGTTTGAATGAACACAGATTGCCGCGCAAAAGCTCGAACACTACAAAATTTATACCTAATGATACATTTGAAAACTAATACGTTATGAGACCTGCACGTGATGAGCCGTCACCATTTCTACTGTTCACTAAGTTGAATGACTTACGAGCTCGAATAAGTAAATCGATATTTTTGATTTCTTAATAAGGTACTTCAGGAAAAGCAAGCTCAAATTATTGATTTTATCTGTACATTTTATCGCCCAAAAAGTCTGAATGACATAGGAATTTTGGTAAGTGTCTTTTCCTAGGAGCATTTTCTAAATACTTGTATGTACTTGTACTGAGACACTGTTTCATATGATATTAGGAGACTTCTTTTAAATAATTAATTAAAACCCGTAATTCGTTATCCAAAGCATTGAAAACTTTAAAAATCAAAACTCGAGTGAAAACAGAAAAGAAGAAAACAAAGAAAAGCAGTACCTTTGCATGTCTCCCGATTTTCTCATTAACCTCCTCGTCAAAAGAATCACAAGACACCGCCATAATGTCCAGATAGGTCCCGTAGTCCTCAAACCACTTCCTAGTGACTCTACTGCCATTCGTTACCACCGTCACTGAGTCCAGGTATAGCTCCTCCTTGCAGTACTTCACCAGTTCCCCCAGGAATATTCCACGTTGGTGGAGGAAAGGCTCGCCGCCCGAAAAGTTCACTTTGATCATGCCCGCATCACTCAGTAGCTTTAAGCCAAGCTTCGCCTGAAACATGGCCCCGATCTGATGTTACTTTCGAGTCATAACTTGGTTATGATATCAGCTGGAATTTGAGTGAATTTCACTAATAAGGAATGCACCAAAATAGGACAAAAATGAATACGCAAACAGAGGCAATGATTTCAAATTTTACGCGTAGAAAATGTAGGGAGTTTCAATAAATCCAGACCAGCAAAAGTAACTAAAAAGAGCTATCTGCTTCTTAACGTTTAAGTTTACTTGAACTAAATCGTGTTTTTTATAGTAAAAATGTTGGGACACGGGTGGATCACCCCCGACAAACGGTTTTTTCTAGTTCAAAGTCAAAATCTTGACCAACCTTAACCGCTAAATTAACTAGCCGGTAGCTGCGGCTTCCTTAACTGGTTTGCAGTCAAAGAACATTTACGGTTTTCAATTTACGAGAATTTTATTGTTAGTATTTCCTAATCATTTATGCAGCTGAAATGAGCAATATGTTTGACCGATCATCGCAGAATTCAAGTTATTTGAATTCGTTTACTTGTTAATTGATCTGATTCTGTCAAAAAAACTACCAAGTTTGAACAAATTTTGCATGCAAATTTGAATTTTCATGCGAACTTCAGACTTTTTCAGATGAGCTAGCTTTAGCACGCAAAAAAAAAAACGCTGAAACTGCTAATTTTTGAAATGCAAACTCAAACCACCAAATAGTAATTAGTGATTTCAAGCCAAAATTTTCTCAATATTAAAGATTCTTAGGCCAAAACTAAAGAGCCAATAGTCTGGACTTTGATATGAACCTGAAAACGGGTCCGACCGACATGAATCAAATTAGTTACCAAAACTGATTAGATTTTCCGAAAACTGAACTTGATCTTGAAACAATTCCTGCAAATAAAAGATTATTTGGTCGAATTTAAACGAAATAATGGAATGAGAACTGGTTGTGACCAAAAAGTTGATCTAAGCGGACCATTTTAAATTGAAGTACCGATCTTTTTAAGTAAAACTTATCTATTTTGCGAAACATCTAAAATTTGTCAACTTTTTTTTTGAATTGTCGTCATACAACGCAATGTCTAAAGGGTTTGCCAGCCCCTAGTCGCAGCCTAGCCTCAAATACAAAGGAGCGATTGTTCCGGGATTAAATTGCTAGATACAGCATTTTTCAAATGCGAGTCAAGTCAATGCGTTTTTTTACGTCTCCGGAAGGCTACAAGGAGACGTGTTTTCTCAAAAAAATTTGCAAACAAAATTTCAAATTGAAAATATATACAAAGAACAACACAGCAAATTTTTAACTAAGTTCGCCATTGCGCGAAAGAAATGCAAATCCGTTTTTTCTTCGTAAACAATAATATTCTGCACTTTTTCGTTGAGCACCCGGTATTTTTTCTTTTTTTTGTGAATTGGTGCCCACTCGAGGCGTTATAGAAATTATTAAGTTTTTGGACGGAAGCGTCTTTTTACAAAATTGCAATCAATTTCCATATACTGGGATGTGATCCACTGAAGTATGACTGTATGCCATAATGCCAGCCCTCTACAACATTTATTGTTCTGGCCAAACCCGATGATGTCGCATCCCTTTGATTCCATAATGAAGGGGGAATAGGACTTCTCGATTCGGGACGGGACTTTTTGTGCAGTAGGATCCAAAATAAAGGCAAAGCTCGTCAACTTTTGCTATTTTTTCCGACTCTTTTATGGTGCGATCGCAAACTATTTGAATTTCCTCCACTATTTTATCGTATGAATTATCTATTTCTTACTCTTTTTCAAAAGCCAGTGCGGGTAACGTTTTGAGTGCTAAAGCGATTCGTGGTTTGTTTCGTAGTCCTTTTTCAATCCGAGCTCCGCAATTTTCCTCATAAAATTTTGTGGAAGATGGAAGAAACATCCCGACAGCTTGGACTCGCATAAAATGTTTCTGAAACGCTTGAATAGCGGCCTGCTCAAAATCCAGCAAAATTGTTTCAGGTTTACTATCAGGGGCTAGTATTTATAGGGCTTCTAAGAAACGGTTGTAGTTTTTTTCTGTTTTAGTTGGCAGGAACGCATATATGCAAGCGGGGACTATTCCTGAAAGACTAACGTGTATGGAGTAAAGTTGACAAAACAATTTCGGGGTAACTTTGAAAGTTCCATCAGGCAACCAAAAGTTGGATGTTTCATGCACACGTAGCATTTCAAGGTCGTCGAATAAATTAATCCTCTCGTGATCATTTTGCCAACTGTCAAATCTTATAAAATTTTTGAAAAGTTCGGGTATTTCGAAACTTCTGGTTGCTGGGGAGACTGGTAAGACTTCTTCTCGTTGCTTGCGCGCTCGTTGTGCGGTGCGAGCCAAGTTTTCTTTGGTTGGTAGGGCTTGTTGAGTGGTAACGTCGTCTGTAATGGGCTGAATGGCGGTTGCGACTGCGATGGTTAGGTATTACTATCGCTTAGATCCTTGATGTTTTTCAAAACTAGTCGAGCATCAGGTTTGCCCGTAGAAATATCGTGATTATGTTGACCCCTCGTTTAAATAAAGTTTTCTCCATCCATAATTGCCGTTGCGCGGCATTTATGGGTTTGGTTCTTCGAGCAGCTTCAGTTTGTTGATGTCTTGTTTTTGCGTTTAAGGAAATATTCGTGGCCTGATACCACTAGCATTTGTTTGTCTTTCGAAGATAAAGTAAAATGGATTGACGCTTCAAACATTATATCTGATCTGCTAGAGTGGTATAACAATAATCAAATAAATAGGCAGTATGATTTTTTATAAAGTTCACAAACGTTTTTTGTTGCCTTCAATTAGCACCATGTAGTTTATCTCTGTTTTAAACGCGTGAGTGAAGGATTATTTCTCTAACTAATCGAAATGCAATTATTTTTGAGATGCTAGAGGCATCAAGTGAGTTAAGGCGAGCTTTTCAGGCCTCAATTAGTAAACTTAATTGGACTACTCCTGTACTTATAAAAAGGACTTAATTTGAAACAAATTATCGTCATTAGAAGGGGGTTAAATTGTTGTGGTGTTATCATGTTACGGGGTTATAATATAGGGGGTGTAAGCATAGGGGGTTAAATATCGTGGGGTTAAAGAGTGGGACACCCTTCAAGCCGAAGAGATTTCAGACCAAAATATAAATATTTTCTAGTTTTTCGACTAAAAATATCCCTGTAACATTAGCTGGTACAAATTTAACCATAAACCTTACTAATTGTTGTTCGCAACAATGCACTATTTCAAGATGACTTTCGCTAGATACAAGAGCCGGTTTTTGAAATGAAAATACAACACAATCTATTATTTTTTACCTTCTGATTTTCTTAAACCTTAACGATTTGTTAAAAATATGTGAAAAAGCCAATAATTATTGAAGATTCTCGGAAAAATTATTCATGTTTTTGCCCTGTTTTTCCAAATTTTGCCTACGGCGCAGAAAATTTTACCAAAGCAGGGCTTTTTCTGGTGCTTTGGGAGAGCTCTAAGAAAAGGTCGACAAAATTTTCTAACATTTTTTGAAAATCCCCCACCCTCGAGAAAATCCTAGATCCGCCCCTGATTCAATGTATTCTAATTTTTTTTTAATTTTCGAATTGAAGTCCCTTTTTCCTGATTCGTCGTAAAATCCCGTCTGCTTGATATCCATCCGGCAGCAATCGATTAATTTATACGACTACTTTTCGGCAAGCAGATGCGAATAACGATTACTGTGCGTTGATTTGCTTGACTTTTATTTGGAAATATTTTACAGATGAAAATGTAGTAGTTTAAATTATCCTACCAGGTTTAAATTTCAATCACAGGTCCCTTCGGCTTGATGATTTGTTTGCCTGTTTTTCAAAGCCCAATCGTCTACAGCGCTGGTTTAAATTATCCGAACAAAATGAATAAAACTTGAAATTTAAATCGCGTTTTTCTAAAATTGGGTCCATTCTAGCCAAAAAATTACGATGAAAAATATGCTTGGAACTTCAGCAAGACTAATTTGGTGCAATCCCCTTTTGCTCAAGTAGTGCTTTAAATTTAAATCCGAAAACGTATTTTTTAGTCATTCAAAATTTACGCATACCACTAATTCAATTGTTAACAAAGAGATTGTATTGTGTAGCCCGCTAAAATTTAAGAGTGCTAAAGTCTTCACAAATTTTACCAAAACGCGAAGCTGAAAAAATACTAGAAAAAACTACTACTGAAAAGCTACTTCAAAAAATAACTTGAAAATTTGAAAAATTACAGATAAAAAAATTTCATGCTTGTATAAAAAGAAGTTTAGAAACAGCCGAGAAAAGAAATGAAAAATAATTATCGAGCGGGAAAAAGTTTGAATCAGAAGCTGTTTGTGCCGAAAACAAAACACATAATCGCATGCAAATATATTTGCCCTCAAAAGTATGCAATATACAGACTTAGCCGATACAACATAATTAACAATATAAATTGACTGAGCCCATACAACTGAAGCTGTTTAAATATTGTCAAAACATAACCCGAAATCAGACTTGGTACGTTTACACATTACTGAACTTTCAGCTATAGTAAAAAAAAAACGTTTAATTTGGACAAAACTTTATCAGATAAAAAAAAATGGTGTTTAAAATGGGAAATGAACCGACCGACAGTAACTAGGGCAAAAAGCAAGAATCCGAAAAAATCTTGAAATTTTTTGAAAAAACAAGCAAAACCTGAAACGGGCTTTCTCTAATTAGTACCCAAATTGTAGTAATTTTGATTTGAATTTTTAAAAAACTGAGCATCTCAGAAGATGAAGGAGTCCTAGAGAAAAAATGATCAGTCCTTTGCCTCAAGTTAATAACGAGAAAAATAAGTCTTGTACCCGATTGCAACACCCTTGTTTATCGCAAGGGTAATAATTAAAATCATATTATTTGTGGTTTTAAAAAATTATTTAGTAGAAAAATCTGTTTGTTTTGTTTTAAAACATTATTGAATTGTTTTGAGGAAGTTTTTGCAGATTACACCCTTCTCAAACTTTGTTGGGATACATAAGAGGCTCACTTTGATACAGTTTTGTGAGCAACCGAATGTGATATTGGCGTAATTTTTGATTGACTAAAAAGGAAAAATGATCCGTGTAGGGTTAAGACTTAGAGCTCAAACTTTGCAAAAAATTTCACGAATTTCTTAGCGGAAAAAATTAACTTTATCATTTTTTGGCTGAAATGAACATAAAATAAGAACAAAATTTTTAAACCAACGCTATTTTATTTTCTCCGGATAGTTTCAATCATCAATTTATAGAGTGATGAAAAAAAAAATTTCAATAAAAAAAAACAGTGACTTGACACAGAATTTATACGTTCAATAACAAAGTTTATGTTTCGAAGTTGTCTAAAACTCATTTTCGCTTTCACTTCGCAAATTGTTCTTTTTAATTGATTCTGTCTGTCCCAATTTGTCGCTAGTAGTAGTATAGTTAATGCTAAATTTTAGGCAATATTTTTTTAGATAATCGAATCTAAATCGAACAAAATTGCTCGTATCAGGATGAAGCCCTGATTGCTCCGACTGCCTTTTAAGGTTTCTGGAGGAGTAATAACATAAAAAAATTGAATGTAATAAAACAAAATGAATTTTTTTTTGAAATTTGAAGTTTTCTCTGAAAATCATCCCCCCACGCGCCATATAAAGTACAAAAGAATAGATTTCGCTGCTAGTAACAATCAATTATCGCAATTAAGCTTATTTCAACCAATTTGGAATGATTTTTAGAACGGATTAAATCTCCGCTTACGCGTTAAAAGCGCGAAATATATCGCGCGTTAATTGTCCCAAATTGGCCAAAATGCCAGTCTTTAAACCCCCATAACTTTACGAAAAATGATCACAGGTGAAATATCTTTTCAAATTTAAGCTCAGGAGATCAATACCTTTCGAACGATTTAAGATATTCCGTCAAAAATGGCTAGTCAAAAACTCGAAATTTGTCTGAAGAAAAAAAAAACCCACCCCGAGCACAAATATTCCGTTACTTTCGTATCGAAAGTCGGAACAATAAACTGTTCTAAAATTGCTCACTTCAACGTCATACATTTTGTGCTAAACATATTTCAGCACAAAATGCATTACAAAAATCTCTAGATGAACTAAGAAGCATCGGATTTCGAACAACTAAGCTTCCCAAGATCAACGAAAATGCCAAAAATTGGAATTCACTAGAGTTATTATGAGGCGTCTCATTTTTTAAAAAATATATATAATTAGTAGCAAAAGTTCCGGACAGCCAAAATTAATCTAAAGAACCAATTGAATTATTTCGGAAGTTTTTTGCATTCAAAAAATTACTTTTAAACAGAATTCAGGTCTAAAAGTTATTTGGAACATCAAAAAGGCATGCAAAATCTGTTTTAATGGAAAAATTGCTCTTTTTATTTTATTTTGTCGATCCGAGCTTTTTGCAATTCTCTATAGCGCAGAAATTGCAACATTATTATTTTCAAGATGCGGTTGAACGGTCAAAAGAGCAATGCAGAACAATTGCGCTTTTTCAGAGATGTCAATTTTTTTAATCACTCGATTCATAACTACAGAACCATATTTATTGATCAGTGATCGCCCTGTAATTTTTCAATAAAAAGTAACACATAAATGAAACTCGAAACTGAAACTTGAACTACAAATGAAGGCCAAATTTATTTCAAAAATTAAACACGTTGCCCGATAAGTTTGTTAAGAACTGTATAAAAACCATCAAAACCATTGCAATTTTTCATACATTGAGACAAAAACATATATTTAAAAGTAATTGCTTTAATCCTTTGGCATAATTCATGACCCTTTCAAATCGTTTTGGACACAATATTGGTTGGTACACATTTTTTACATGCGGAAAGAACAAAAAAGCGTGCCACGTAAAAAAAAAATGACAGTACACTAAGGCTACAGGACATTAAGACGCATGATCATAACGACGAAATGACGTTAAAACGACAGCCTATTTAGACGTCAAATGGGGGTCAATCAGCGTTACAACATTTCAATTGAGCTGATGCTGCATTATCTGATTATTTAAATAAAGAAACCATTGACAAGTTACCTCGATTTTCAGAAGAAAAAAAATTGATTTGTCATCATAATGCATTGGTTATTGCAGTTTACGTTATAGAAAATTACACTCTTTGTATTTGATTTATAGAATTGTCAATCTGCTTTAAATTTGAAGAATTGTGTGTAATGTCGTATTAATTGAAGGACACCAAAAAAGACATAAGACGTCAAACCGGGTTGGGAAGTAATTTAACATTGTTATTTAACACTCAACTTAACAACTTAACTTGCAATGTTATTTATGTTTTCTAACAGTGATGTTAGCTATTTCTTGGAAAAACACTCTACATATAACTGTTTTTCAGAGTGAATATCTTTTCGCTGGGGGGGGGGGGGTGGGAACAAGGGTTGATATGAATTTTTTTACAAACTGTGCATTCTGTGCATTGTATGCGGATTCCACAACAGGCCAAAATCAGATTTGTCGCGGAATCCACATCATTGCCTCTTTTCTTTGATCTTCTTTGCTGATATGGACTCCACAAACAATTACTCAAAACACTGTTCCTCTCAAAATTGCTCCAAAAAAGACGCATTTGCGGAATCCGCAACCGTATTTGCGGAATCCAGAACAGCTTGTGGAGTTCACAAACAAACAATAAGACATGTGTATAGTTAAATTGAGCTGTTGTGGAATCCGCAACTGTGAGCGGAATCCGCAAAGTGCAAGTGGAATCCGCAAATTGTGAGTGAAATCCGAATTTTGTTTGCGGATTCCGTTTACATATGGGTATATTTGTAGAAGCGTTTAAAATTATATCTTATAATTACTTGATTTGATTTCACTAGAAAAGAAATTTACTAGATCAGTGTTTGGAATTACTGGAACCCCAATTACTGACCATTATTTGGGATCGATGAATTCCCAAGTACTGAAATCTGAAATAATACGACGATTCGCTATGCGCTGGGTTTCTAATCACTCTCAACCTAATGACCCCAAATAATGAATTTGTTCCATATTTATTCCATATTACTCCGGTTTTTGGGATTCCATCAGTCCCAAACACTGACTAGTAGTTGGGATCGATGGAATCCCAAATACTGACCTAATTTGGCGATATGCTGTGTGTTGTGTTTCCATACACTCTCAACCCAATGACTACAATTACTGAATTTATTCAGCGTTATGCATCGAAAAACATTATTTGGGATTGAAGCATTCCCAAATACTGACATAGTTTGGCGATATGCTGTGTGTTGTATTTCGATACCCTTTCAACTCAATGAATCCAACTATTGAATTTATTCGGTGTTGTGTTTCCAAAAACTGAAAGATGACATCCACCGATTTAGGTAACCAATGTTATAAGACTTGTTCGTGGATTCCGCTGACGATGTTTAAGTCCTTGCTTTTAAATTCCGCATTGCTAGAGATAAGAATTCCAGCTCTGGCTTTCAATTGTTCACATGCAAGTTCAAAAATGAACAAAATTCGGAATCCATTTACCGTTTGCGGAATCCGCTTACATTTGCGGATTGCGCTTACGTTTTGCAGAATCCACTCACAGTTGCGGAATCCAAAACAACTAGCTATATTTGATTGCTGCGGAATCCGAGACACAACAAATGTGCCGACAAAATTTACGTTACTTTCATATGTAAGCGGACTCCAAGGATGTTTTGTAAGTGGAATCCACTTACATTTTGGAACATGTTTGAATATTAGTTTCTGGAATCCAGGAACATACAGACACAAAACTGTGTGCCTATCTAGTGCACAGTTTGGCCTCGTAATGAACGACTCATCACGTTTTTCAATTTTGATTCTCTACACGCTTTAAGAACAAATTTAAATGTTTAAAACATGGTTCATGTTTCTATCAATTAAGAAACCTTTATATCAGTTTGGGGTACTTGTGTGATAGAGGGGTCCCGAGAAACTAGCAGGGTCCCGAATGTATAGAGTGCTTCAAATTTGTTCAATTTTTATTGCCTCTGTGCTGTCAATTTAAGCATCAAACGAGTTCGCGCGAGTGATGCAGGTTAATTACGTGTGAGAAAAAGACTTGAAAACAATCACACTTGTACCCAATTTAGAAACACTTTCGAGGCCATCATGATATTTGGTGGAAAAACGAGTGATAACTTAGAAAAGTGAACCCACGGATAAATTAACCGGTACTAGTGTGATAAAGGGGTCCCGAATCACAGTATTTTAAGCAAACACTGCAGTTATAACTAATTCAATATGCTCCAACGTAATTAACCTGCCTCATTTGCAATAACTTATTCGATAATTTAGTTGAAATCGCCGATGCAAAAAACTAGAACTTTGTGGAGGCACTTTATGTACATTAGGGACCCGGTTAGTTTCTTGAGACTTCTCTATCACACTTGTACCAATTTACCTTTTCGATCGGAAGAACAAAAGAAGTCAGGGCGGTGTGAAAGCAAAACCCACAGGAGTAATTACACTGTCTTGTGAAGTGGTAATTCACGCTCAACGGAACAACAGATTTAGGGGACTCCTCCTGGGCTTTGCCGAAAGTCAAAGATCGGTTGAATCTGAGTCTGAATTTCCTGGCGAAGATTTGGGTTACTCGCCACAAGCGTAAGATGAAGCTTAATGAATTGTCCATCAAACGTAACACCATGGTTTGTCAATGAATGTTTTTTTATTCGTTATATTTGTTAAGTATAGAAACTCAACGATATACTTTCAATTTATAAGTAACCGCGCGGCAAAATAAAATTTGACAATTAGACGGAACATACAAACAACTCTACAAACAAAAAAAGCTATTAAATATAATTAAAAATGTGCATATACAGTGCTGATTTAAATTATCCGGACAAAATGAACAAAACTTGAGTTTTCAAACGCGTTTTTCTCAAATTGGGTTAAGATTAGACAAAAAGTGAACAAAACAAAAGTTGCTTAGAATTTCCTCAGAATTAATATGGTGTAATTTTTTCTCCGAAATTTCCAAACTAAATTTTACCCCAAAATTGGGTCATTTTGGTTTTTTTTCAAATAATCAAAAATTACGCTGAAACTACTTTGTTAATTGATAGGAAAATTATATCACAAGAAGCCTCTTACACAGACCAACAAAGTTTAAGAAGGGTTAAACCTCCAAAAACTAGAATAAGAGAAAATTTTTTTACTTGATAGTCAATAAATGTGATTTTTACTATGTAAAACCCAGTGCCTCTGTTTAAAAACAAATTTTAAACAATTTGCGCAAATTTTTGGAGATTTAACCCTTCTCAAACTTTGTTGAGCTGTGTAAGAGGCTTCTTGTGATATAATTTTCTTATCAATTAACAAAGTACTTTCAGCGTAACTTTTGATTACTTGAAGAAAAAAAAATGACCCAATTTTGGGGTAAAATTTTGGTTGAGAATTTTGGAGAAATAATTACACCATATTAATTCTGAGGAAATTCTAAGCAACTTTTGTTCTGTTTACTTTTTGTCTAATCTTAACCCAATTTGAGAAAAACGCGTTTGAAAACTCAAGTTTTGTTCGTTTTGTCCGGATAATTTAAATCAGCACTGTACATGGTTTTTCGTCAATACGTGGTAAAGCAAAACCATCAAACTGAAGTTATGTTCACTGGAGTTAAATAATATATCAAATGTCTAATACGAGTAGTTTAATTTCTCAGAAAAATGCGCTAGAGCGTGTTTTAGACGGTGTTGGTAAATAAGACTACAAGACATTAAGACGACCAATAAGCGTTATAACGTGTAAAAAGAGCAGTTCAAATATAAGAGCGGTTTTTGACTTACAGCTGCTTTTTATGGGACTTTAAGACGACGCTACACGCAATTTTTCTTCATTGTATTTCTGAGAAGTTTAAATTTAAATTTCTCAGAAATACAATGGGAGAGAACTGCGTGTAGCTTCGCCTTAAAGTCCCATCAAAAACAGTTGTCATCTTAACGGCTGTCATCTTACTTGCCAATCACCCAGTGTACATATATATGGTTTTCCGGTGTTAGGCCAACAAACAGAAAATAAGATAACCATTCCAACAAGTCAAAAGTTAACATTGTTATGCAACATAACAACAGATTGTCATGGTTGTTATGCAATTGTTACGTAATTCTGTTGTAATTTACATTATTTTGATGCAATTTCGGCTTCGAGATATGGCGGTTTGTAGACATGGCGGTTTTTTGATTATCCGCCGGTTTTTTGTCAATATGTGGTACGTAGCGAAAAAAAAGTTGATCAAAATTGAGAATTGATATTTTTTATCAAATAGGATCGCAAGTGATTCGTAATGAAAATGATTTCAAAGCTTTAGAATTTTGCAAAAACTCAATTTCAAGGTTGTACCGACTTGAGTTGTCCGGAAAATCAGCCCACTTTTGGCAATGTTGGTTTTGAATAACTGGAAACCCTTTTCAAGTTCATTTGTAGTCTAAGCTGTTTTGAAGTTTGAGTTTCAATTTGAAGGCCAAGTGATTAGCAAGGTCATTTATGTTCGAAATTTGTGCAGCAAAATTTTTGCGGTTTCTTTGATCGGCTAAAATGGCAATATTTAAACCCCCATAAATTTACGAAAAAAAGATCACAGGTGAAATATCTTTTCAAATTTATGCTCGGGACAACAATAGCTTTCGAATGATATTAAAAAAATTTCTCAAAAATGGTTAGTTGAAAGTCAAAATTTGTCTGAAGAAAAAAAACTCCATCCCGAGCACAAATCTGCCGTTACTTTCGTTACGAAAGTCGGAACAATAACTTTGAAATCACCCCATAACATTTATTTTGACAATTTGTTCGAACAATAAAGTCACGCAATTATAACCAACTTCTGTGTGCAAATTTAAATCTTATAAAATTATTGCACTTGCGATTACTAAGCGTAATAAAATCGGAATATAGATTTCTTTTTTTTTTTCACGTTAGGGACTTGTTTAGTAAAATCTTTGTGCCCATGTGATTAATCCCCCACCCTAAATAGAACAAGTGAGCAACCTCCCCCTAAAAGCATAGGTCAAATAAATGGCAAATTCAGGCAGTAAAGCCTGCATATATTACCTATGCTCAAATCTGCTTGGCTGAAAAATATTACTTTTAACTAAGTGAACTATCTCCTCCCTAAATTGTTTTAGTTGGGAGATTGTTCACTTGGTCCCGACATGGCATTAAAACGACAAATGAGTGTCAACACAATTAAATTCAACTTTTAAAATTTTAGCAAAATATTTTTCTCAGAAACACTATTGTAAAAGTGCTAATTTCAAGTGCAAAAGCTCGGGTTGACCTGCATAAACCGAAAATGCTTATTTTACAATTGCATATTTCCTATTGAAATTTGCTAGGTCCACATGCAAAGCCTGTTTTTGTTCCAATTTTTGAAGTACGTGGCGGAATACTTGTGCTCGGGTGTTTTTTTATAGCTAAATTTAAACTTTTCAACCGGCACTTTTAACAGAATTTCTAAAAATCATTCGGAAGGTAATGTTTCCTTGAGCTCAAATTTTAAAAGATATACTTTTCCTGTGATCTTTTTTTATCAATTTTTTTCGTAAATTTAGTTGATTTGAGACAATTAACGCAAGATATATTTCGCGGTTTTTAACGCATAAGCGGAGACATGCTCTTTAGTCTATTTAATACTTTGCTCTGTGCAAAATATATCACGTTTTTGTAATATATTAACTTTTTAGAAATTTTGATCAATAATTTATTTTAAATTACTCCATAGAAATCAAAAGGCAGTCGAGACCTTTGGGGGTTTGCCCTAATACGAGCAGTCATGTTAAACTTGTTTTCGTTCCAGAAAACAGTCGAAACCCAAGTTATCAAATCATAGCCTCCTCGAAGCTCTGCTACAGCTTTAAATGAAATACATCAGCAGTGTTTTTTCAAACATAATTGTTTGCTTCTTCTAGGCATATGAAATTTTGAAAATTTCAAAATTTAAATGAAAACAATTTCTTCTCAAACTAGCAGTAGAATGACGTAGCAGTGGTGTTTGAGAGAATATTAGTTTTATTAAAAGTTCTTTAACTGTTGTTTTTGTGAGTTTAAAATGACAGAAGAAGAATTATTGGCGCCATAGTTCCCGCAATTTTGTTTCTAGTGCACATTCTGCTCCATTTCAAAAACCCAACGATGTTTCCAATACGTTAGAATAAGAGGTATTGTTTTAAATACAATGGATTCATTTCGTTTTTCTGTGTAAGCTTTATGTGATATTTCAATATTTCAGAGTTGAAGTGGGGGTTTGCGTGCGACATTGGGAGTCTGCAGCTCCAATAATCTTTTTCTGGTACTAATTTACAAAGTCTGCAAAAAACCATTAAGTTGCTAACTTCCATATTTCCTTCCTCCGTAAAAAATTGATCCAATTTTTTTCTTTTTCCAAATTTAAGTTTATCAATTGGTACCACTCTTGAAACCAGAGGAATCACTATCAGTAAAGTTATATTTGAGCGTTTTAAATTCCTCTTTTCTCTTAAACTGAAAACGTATGTTGGTTGTAAAGGTCGAAAATAGTGTTTGGACCTGATGGGATCAAACTTAGTTATAACCTTCTCGGCTTGATGGTCCTAACTGAAATTATATCTGGTTTGTAACCTCGTACCTACCCTTTTATGTAATCAATGAAAAGTTTTTTGTATTGAAAGGAGGATATTGAAATCTACAGAGTAATTTTTTTGTCGCAAACCTTTTTGCGGATCTTAACGGATAGAATTGAGTTTTATTGAGTGAAAATGTTTTGTCGAATAACGGGCGTCTGCAAAATTTGTATATATTTTTTATTGACTAACTTTTGGAGCCCATCAGTGTTTTTTTGTTTGCACTAGAAACTTCCAAACTTAAATGTTTGATAATTTATTTTTCAAAATTTTTTGCTCCAACTTTTTTATTGAAACTGTTTTTTTTTCTAAAAGTTATTTTTCAAAATAATTTTGTATAATATCAACGTTTAATTGCAATTCAACCACTTTGAAGTTCACATGATAGCTTTAAACAAAGGACTGTGTTTGTTTTTAAAGAAGACATTGCCTGCAAAAAAGTTGAAAAATAATTGATATTTTCTCTGCACTTTTTTAAATGCTTCATTTGCTTGGTTATTGGATAATACAGCGAATTTGAAAATTGTCAAAAATTTTAAGGAGTATTTGTAGTAAATTTTGCATCGCATCTAGTGCAAAGAAGCACATTGATTTTTTAAGTTACCTACCTTTCAAGTCTTTTATAGGGGTGGTTTCTGCTAATCAAAATTATAACCTGGTCAAACAAAATCTTCACAACAAAAAACTACTAATTTTGTTGCCCTGGAATGACATAAACTTAAAAAATTTGTCTCAGATAAATTTTTTTTGCCGCCCGATTACTCATTTACAAAATCTGCAAAAAACCATCAATTGATCTGGCTGACTTCCATATTTCCTTTCTCAGTAAATAGTTGATTCGAATTTACTCTTTTTTTCCGTTATAATTTAACCAAATGATCCTCAATTGAAACTAGAGGAATCAATTTACTAATGTCATATTTGAGCATTTTTAAGGTCATTTTTCTCTTATATTGAAAACTTGTTTAAAAACTTTTTCATTGGAAGGTGGATGATGAACTTTACTGGGTAACTTTTGATCCCAACTTTCTTTTGATTCTAATGGATATAATTGAATTTTATCGAGTCAAAACTTCCTGCCGAAAACTGGGCGTCCTCCAAAACTGTGTAATTTTTTTGTTGACTAGCAGTTGAAGCCCTCCAGTTTTGAAGCCCTCCAAACTGGCAGTCTATAAACCTCATAATTTTGAAAAAAAATCATCACATGTTAAAAATGTTTTTAAGTTTGAGCTCATGACAACAATACCCTTTGGTTGATAAATTTTGTTTTGGAAAAATGGCTAGTTAAAAAGTCAAAAGTTTTCTGAAGAAAAAAAACCTACCCCGAGCGCAAATACTTTTGAATGAAATTTAATTTTGTTTTATTTAGTAAAATATTTTACCTCTCGTTATTTGTTTTGGATCTTGCAAAATTCAAGGAACGCTACCAGATTTTTTAGATGCAACTGTCAAATTTTAAAAAAAATTCTGAAAACTAGTTTATGTTTTTCTGCGCTTCACAAATTGTACTGTGATTGTCTTCTGAGCAGTTATTTGCCTTATTGTTTAGTTTAACTTCAATGTGAGTTGTAATAGTTCTATGTAGTATTATTTGTTTTGAAAATTTTCTGCTGAAAACTTGTGATCGCGAAAAATTGTCTTAGATACAGTTTTTGTCTTTCTTGTAACCTACAACTGTTTAAATAGCAAGTTGCCCAGCTGCACTTTGCCTCTGTGTTGTTTTTGGATTCCAATTGTGGTTAAGATATGCTTCTGTTGATTGCAATTCTCAATAAAATTCGTTGCAATATTGAAGTTTCAATCATATATTAACCAAGATTTGAACAAACTGACAAAAATAGTTTTACAAAGTAAGCTTTCAGATGCTAACTCAATGAGCTGATAATTTTTAGTAACAGCAACTCGATAAAACGTCATGCAAACTTTTATAGCTGGCTTTTCGGATCAAGAATTGCTTTTTTTGTACCAAGTGCTTTGTAAAGCAACAATTGGGTGAAATACGAGTCCAGTTTTGACTTTAAAAGATTCACTTTTTTTGTTTTTCACATTTTTTTGTTGGGTCTGTTTCTTCTTTCTAGGTTACATTTAGCAATAACATTTAGATTGA